ACAGCAGCAGCAACTGCTGTTGCTGCTGCTGCAGCAGCACACGAGCAGCAAAGCAGCAGCAGCAGCAGCTGCTGCTGCAGCACAATTTGTGTTTGTATTTAACTTGGGCCCTTCAAGGCACTTTGTCTTCTGACATTTCCTGCTGCAGCAGCAAACTCTGCAGCAGCAGCAGCAGCAGCAGCAGCAGCAGCAGCAGCAGCAGTAGCAATAGCAGCAGCAATAGCAGCAGTAGCAGCAGCGTACACTACCCTCAGGCCGTAACAGCAGCATCTGTTGCTGCAGCAGCAACAGCTGCAGCAGCTTTTGCTGCAGCAGGAGCTGCTGCTGCTGCAGCAACAACAGCAACAGCAGCAGCAGCAACAGGAATAGCAGCAGCAGCAGCAGCAGCAGCAGCAAGTGGCTGTTATACAGACGGATACCCCACTTGCTGGTTGCAGCCTCTAGAGAGACAAACAAAAACAAAACGAAGCAGCTAGCTGCAGCTAGCGAGATAGCTAGCTGCGGTGTATGTGCAGCTTGCTCCAGCTGGCTAGCTAGCTAGCTGGGGTGTATGTGCAGCTAGCTGCAGCTAGCTGGGGTGTATGTGCAGCTAGCTGCAGCTAGCTGGGGTGTATGTGCAGCCAGCTGCAGCTAGCTGGGGTGTATGTGCAGCTAGCTGCGGCGGCAGAAAACAAGCCACAGCAAGTACTAGCGAACCCCCCAGCTAGCTGTCTAGCTAGCTGGCTAGCTAGCTGGCTAGCTAGCTGTATAAATAGCTATGTGTGTAGATACATAACCCTAAACCCTAAACCCTAAACCCTAAACCCTAAACCCTAGAGCCGGTAGAAGACAGTGGTGAGCCCACTAACACACAAACCCTAAACCCTAAACCCTAAACCCTAAACTCTATGAACAGTATATCCTAAACAACCCCACAGCTTCTCCCGCTGCTGCTGCTGCTGCTGCTGCTGCTGCTGTTGCTGTTGCTGCTGCTGCTGCTGCTGCTGCTGCTGCTAGGAGTATGAATGTATTTGTGTGGTGGGGGGAGAAACGCCTCACCCGCAAAAAGACAAAAAGAAATAAAAAAA